AATGAAATCTAAATACAGAACAAGACTGACTGATGAACATTTAAATGACTATTAGAGTGAACCTAACTGGGTCCAGCATACACTATGGTGGACTCCATGCAGTGCCAGTCATCTCACTAACTGAAAAAGAGTGAATGCACTTATTTTACATATGTGCCATAAGATGCTTGTAAGGTGGTGGTTATGGTGAAGTACGTACTATGTGGGCCATAATAATATGTGAGAAATGTTCGTTTTCTTGGACCTTGATATGAAGTTAAGATTTGTGATAAGCTTTAGGTATTTGCAATTTCACACGTGTACAAAAGTATAGCTTAATTCAACTGATGAGGGCTATGTGAATACATTTAAGCGATGTGATGCAAGTAGCTCTTGGCCACTTTCATTTTTTCAAAGTAGCTCTCAGATGAAGAAAGGTTGGAGACCCCTGCTTTAGAGCTACTTATCTCATCACACAGTGCTCCAAGGTGAGTCATTTGCATTTCTAGCAAGACCAGAGATTGCCCTGAACATTTTTGATATTTAACACATGGGGTGCCATGTTATAACTAGTACATTTAAAAAGGTGATTTAAGGAAACATCTACAAATCAAGAAAATACCCGTCAGAGGGTTAAGGCAAAACCTAACAGAGAAGTCATACACAATAATCTAATACAATTAAATGTGACCACAACTACAGTGCAACAAAGCAGGAAGATTAAATGTGGACTCTTAAACATAAGATCTCTAGCATCTAAAGCTGGGGCAGGGGAACCTCCGGCCCCCGGGCCGTATACGGCCCGCGAGACCTTTAGCTACGGCCCTCGAGGTAATTTATAAACATACGCAAAAAAGGAAAGAAATCTAGACCGCAAAAAAATTAAACAAGCGAGTGCCTGTTTTTCCTGGCCAAGGTGAGGGTCCTTGAACACATCACGAGCCTAACGTGTCATCACGTGGTATATGTCTCGTCTGACAGGGGTGCAGTTCTGACCATGGTTCTGACGGAGAGCACCAGAACGCCACTCCGCCACTTCCACAAATTGCAGTACCCAGAAGGAGCCGTACACATGCCGCAGTTTTTGCGTGGCTGTGTCTTTAGTTGAAAGCCAAGTGGTCTGTTCATCTGTCATACTGATCATACAGTCAATAACTGTGTTGTTATTAGCATCTGGTTAGCTAGCTATGCTAACGAATATAAGAAGCTTTTTCTACAACCAGTGAGGTAAAGGCACATCTTTATATGATCATTATAGTTATAAAAAAATAAGAGAATAAAGTAAACGGGTATAAAATACTATATGACAGTAAAAAAAGTTGTTATTAATAAACAAGAATACAGTTTGAAAGGAGAGTGATTTGTAAAATATCCATAAATAAAAATAAAATCTGCTTACAGTTATGTTTCATCTGGGTGTTGAGAGATGTATCCATAGATCTCCTAATGTTGCTCTCAAAGTGCACCAGATTGATGCTTTTAACGTCAACATTTAAAAACAAATCTTCCCGGGGGAGCTTGCCCCCCGGACCCCCCTAGAGGAGGTTAGGTCCCCACTTAAAACATGTTCACATGGATAGGAAACTAAATACATTTGCACTCATCTTGTGTCCATATATTTCTGTTTTGGTGGTCATGCCACAACCGTGCACGTGCATGCATGAGTCATGGTAAAATATCTGGATTAAGAGGTGGCTTTTTCTTTGCACAGAATGAAAGAAAGGCCAAATGAATGGGCTGTGATTTTAGTATTTTTAAGCAGAGGTCAATCATTTGTACGGCCCTCGGAGGATGTTGGAAAAATTGAAATGGCCCTTGAGAGGAAAAAGGTTCCTCACCCCTGATCTAAAGCAATATTGGTAAATGATTTAATATCAGATTATAATATTGATATATGCTGTCTCACTGAAACTTGGTTGAGACATGAAGAATATGTCAGCATAAATGAGGCCACTCCACCCAGCCATATCAATACTCATATTGACCGAGGCACAGGCCGAGGAGGTGGAGTTGCAGCAATCTTTGACTCAAGTTTACTTATCAATACTAAACCAAAATTAAATTATACCTCCTTTGAAAGTCTCGTTTTTAGTCTTACGCATCCGACCTGGAAAACTTTGCAGCCAATCTTATTTGTTACAGTGTACCGTGCACCAGGTCCTTATTCAGAATTCTTATCTGAATTCTCTGAGTTTTTATCAACTTTGGTTCTTAAAACAGATAAAGTAATTATCGTAGGTGACTTTAATATTCATGTTGACGATGATAAAAATAGCCTTACTGTTGCATTTAACTCTATATTAGATTCTGTTGGTTTTTGTCAGAGTGTAAATAAACCAACCCACTGCTCTAATCACACTCTCGACCTTGTTCTGACTTATGGTATTGAAATGTAGCAACTATTAGTCGAACTGCATAATCCTGCATTATCCGACAATTTTTGTATAACTTTCGAAGTCTTGTTATTAGACTACAAAGCATTAGTCAAAAGTTCCTGCGGTCAGTGTCTGAGACAACTTGAAAGGATATGGCATTCCACTAAACTTGAAGAATCTCGTTTAATTTGGCATATTACTCTCAATGAATATAAGAAAGCACTGCGTAAAGCGAGAGCAGACTACTACTCTTCATTAATAGATGAGAATAAGAATAATGCAAGATTTCTTTTCAGCACTGTAGCCAGGCTGACAGAAAGCCACAGCTCGATTGAGCCTTCTATTCCCATAGCACTCAGTAGTAATGATTTTATGTGCTTTTTTAATGATAAAATTGTTACTCTTAGAAACAAAATTAATGACCTCTTGCCTTCGACCAGTAAAGTGTTATCAACAGCTCCCGGAAATGTAAAATCCAATATAACACTAAATAATAATTTAAGTGTTTATAACACTTTTTTATTAAATATAATGAATATATCTTTATTATCAGGCTATGTTCCACAATCATTCAAAGTAGCAGTGATAAAACCTCTTCTTAAAAAGCACAACCTCGATCCAGAGGTTTTAGCCAATTATAGACCTATTTCCAATCTTCCGTTCCTCTCAAAAATCCTTGAGAAAGCGGTCGCAAAACAGCTGTGTGATTACTTAAAAAACAATGATTTATTTGAAGATTTTCAGTCTGGCTTTAGAACACATCATAGCACAGAGAAACAGATCTTGTGAAAGTTACAAATGACCTTCTAATAGCTTCAGACAAAGGATTTGTCTCTATTCTTGTCTTGTTTGAGCTAGGTGCTGCATTTACACTTAGTTGGCATAAAATGAACTGCTTTAGACTGGTTTAGGTCCTATCTATCTGAACGCTCTCAGTTTGTGTGTGTCAATGATGAATCTATCATGCAAACTAAAGTTAGCCATGGAGTGCCACAGGGCTCAGTGCTTGGACCTATATGGTTCACATTATATATGCTTCCGTTAGGCAATATTATAAGGAATCACTGTACATTTTCATTGTTATGCGGATGATACTCAAATATATTTATCCATCAAGGCTAATGAAACCAATCATCTAAATACAATTCAAAACTGCCTCAAGGACTTACAAACTTGGATGACCTTACAAATTATTGTACTCGGCCCAAATCATTTACGAAACAAACTACCTAAAGATATACTCACTCTGGATGGCATTAATTTGGCCTCCAGTGAGACTGTAAGGAATCTTAGTGTTATATTAGGATTTATCCTTTAACGCCCACATAAAACAAATCTCATAGACCACCTACTGCCATCTACGTAACATTGCAAAAATCAGGCATATCTTGCCTCAAAACGATGCAGAGAAACTAGTCCATGCATTTGTTACTTCAAGGCTGGATTATTGTAACTCCTTATTATCAGGGTGTACCAAGAAGTCAGTCAAGTCGCTTCAGCTGATTCAAAATGCTGCAGCTCGTGTACTAACCAGAGTTAGGAAAAGGGACCACATTACTCCTGTTCTGGCTGCCTTACACTGGCTCCCTATAGAACACAGGATATCATTTAAAATTCTTCTTCTCGCCTACAAAGCCCTTAATGGGCAGGCGCCATCTTACCTTAAAGACAGTCCGGCAGTGGCTCAGTCAGTAGGGGCTTGGACTGTGAACCGTTGCACGTCTGTCTTTCCTGAGAGAGGGATCCTCCTCTGTTGCTCTCCTCAAGGTTTCTTCCATTATCCCCCATTAACTGGGGGGTTTCTTTGGGGGGTTGTATTCATATTCTGTACAAACTGTAAAGTCCACTGAGACAACTGTAATGTGATATTGGGCTATAGAAATAAACTATGATTGATTGATTGAGATAATGTACCTGATATCAGAGATAATGTGACACTTGGACTGCACATAGGTGTACTTTATTCAACTCATAATTGAACTATGAAGGTCATTGTTGGGGCTACATAGCAAAGGGTGTGAATGCATCGGCACACACTGCTTTTCAGTTTTTAAAACAAGTTTATGTTCTACTACTGTGGGGATACATAAAAGAAAAAGAAAAGCGCCAAGGGGGTAAAAACTTTTTAAAAGTCATTTTGTATTGCATTCCTAATTCCTAAATATATTCAAGCCTTTTACAGATTACCATCTTAAACGTCCTTCTCATGCTAGAAAACATTTAGGTAGGTCACATATCTCTCCTGGTGTTGGATCCTTATCTCTACATAGAGTCACAAGACAAAGACGCAAAGAGCTGTCGCATTCAGACTGCCCCAGTGTTTTGCTGCCATGCAAGGCCAGGAATGCTAGGAATGTCTTGACTAGGATTTGAGAACCAATTGAGCTGACTCATCTTTAGATGAAGTTAAATGCGTGCCTTTTTTAGGATAAACATCAAGAGAGAATGGCTGTGCTTCAGAATTGATGGTGGAACAATGTGACTGCACCTCTGTATTCACTTGTATTGTTCATACACTCAACTTCTTGTACAAGATCCAATAAACTTCCAGACAACACGTCAGTCTCTTATTGCTAAGCTCATTCAGATTTTCCATCACCATGATGAATGTTTTTCTCTGATGGGGTTTCAAAAGCCTCCACCTACCTGTCCGGTGCTGGCCTTGTCAGCCTCTGTCAGTTTGCCCAGCTCGGGGTGTTTGGCTTCCTTGCTTAGTTCCTGGTTTCCCGTCTGAGACAGTTTGGACACACTGTCGACACTTTGACTACTACCAAAACACGAAGCAACATGTTAAAACATAGACCTTAAATAAGGCGAACAGTTAGTATATATAATGCTGAAATAAACGTTAAGTGTAAATCTAATGATAGTGAGCCTTGTGCTCGATCTACATAACAAATATTTTTCGTACTTTTCTGGTATTAAAATATTAATGCTAATGATGAAATCTCAATAACTTTCAGCTCCTCTTAAACAGGAGGTTATCGTCAGGCCGAATCAAGTCATTTACTTCAAGTTTGTAAGATTTGTAACACTTACAAAAAATAAGAGAAGGATAAGAATACCAAAACATTTCTTACACGAAGCCCATTCTTTACAATTCTATATTCTGAATAGAAAATGTATTTCTTGCACTAAAAAGGCATTGTGGGTGTGTATCCAAAGCCTGATAAATACTGTATGGTTTCTCTATGGTGTAGAGCTCCATTGTTGTTAAGTTTTACTCACCCAAGAAGAACAGTGCCATTCTCTGCTCCTTTGGTTCCACTATTTGCCACAGGTTCTTAATGAAGGCAGGAAACAAAACAATGTAATGCAACTAAACCAGAATATTTGAGAGGTTTACTTTAAAAACATATCGTTTACAATTAGTAGTTTACCTTAAAAAAAACAAACACCATATGCTCTTTTTTAAGTTACTGCAGTATGTGGATTAACAGCGTATTTTAAACAAATCAGGTCTCCACCTACTACACTGACAAAAAGAAGAAAAACAGCAAATACAGAGATACCAGCTGAAGCAAATACAAAGATACCTAATCATTAGCAGTATTTTTGTTTAGTTTATCTGGTTTCCTCCTACTGTAATACAAATAAATAAGATATTTAAGAAAAGAATGAAAGCAGCTATTCCATCCCCACCCAGTAAGACTCCTTTCACCGGGGTTTAGTGAGACTTGAAGTGTTGGGATGTGTGCTTTGCAATATATGTTTTTTTTTTCAAATATATTGTAAGATTGTAATCCCCAATTTGAATATGCCTTTTTCATGTAACTGAAAGCAAACACAGTTACCATTTTCTTTATCCTGATTACGTAATCCCGTCACATGTAATCCATTACTCTTCAGGGCTGTGTGTATGCAGTATTTCTCACCATTGCTGTCAGTGTGTTCGACGGCAGCGTATGTTCGCAGAAACTCAGCAAAGGCTCCTTCTGTGGCCATGAGGTGCTGGTAGGAGCCCATCTCTGTGATCTGCCCCTCCACCAGGACCAGGATCAGGTCGGCCTGGGGCAGGTAGCTCAGTCCATGGGTCACCAGCACACGAGTCTGCACATATTTAACATGATTGTATTTAAAAAAAAATGTAACTTGTATAATTTTTTTTTTTTGGAAATCTATTCACGTGAGCACAATTGCAATACATTTTAAAACCTTTAAAACCATTGTTTTACCATACACAAATATCAAAATATCTATCTGTGTAAGAAGAAAACAACAAACAAAGATGAAAAGAATAGATGTAGCGTCAGACACTTACAATGCTGTCCGGCAGTCCCGTTATAGGCTGTTCAACACCTATCACACACTAATTCATGTCAAAACATGTAACAACTCACTCATGGCAGTTAGGTGGACTAATCCACGTGACCACCACCTCTCTCCAAGGGGTAAAAGCCAACCTACCTGTCAGTCACAATTGAGGAGTCCTTTAAGATGACTTAAAGAATCAGTTTCCCTGAGTTACCGTCAGGGACTGTACCAACATAAAAGAGGTTGGAGGGGGACCAGAAATGGGGAAAGTGTCATGTTATCTTTTCCTACCCCTGATAGGTATCATATGCCAGGATCAATTATGATAGGGGTTGGGAACACCTGAGGCCTGTACTACGAAGCAGGATTTTTGCTTTGCTCCTAACTTCAGGGAAAACTCCGGCTTTCCGGTCCTACGACGCTGGTTCTCTACTTAGCGGGCTAGATCTCCATGGTAACTTATGCTGTGCGGCTAACCTGCCCCGGAGCAGGTTAGGTTGCAGGCTAAGAGATCAACTCAGTGAAAGCACCGCCTGCTGACCAATCAGAGCTCAGTGTGCGGAGTTTAAAGCGATCAAGTCATATTACAGGAGAAAGGAAATACAGAAAAACTGCCGTTGCAGGAAAGACGGCCGGCAAAAATCACCGACTGTGTGAACGTGAACATTAATAGAATATCACCTCCCATCTTCAGGGCAATCTGACCTGTTGATTGCATCCCCTAACAAAGACGCCTGTCGCATCAACTCCATTCTGCTCATGAAAAGACTTTCTGAATGCGGACACAGAGCATCCCTGGCCAAATTGCAATACTGCCAGACTGAGGTCACGTATTTGGGTCACATTCTGAGAGATGGACACCGCCTCCTCTCACCTGCGAGAGTCTGCCTTTTGAACAAAGTGCCACCACCTCACACAAAGAAGGAGATGCTTTCCTTCTTGGGCATGGCAAACTACTGCAGACATTGGATATACGAGTACGCTGCTATGGACTCCGTCCTGCGTGATGCCACTCTGCAGGCCGCCCCTAACATTGTTCAATGGTCTGAGGACATGCACACAGCTTTTCAGGACTTAAAGCAGGCCCTCACATCGGCTCCGGCCCTGGGTCTCCCTGATTACCATCAACCTTTTCATCTACACGTCCATGAAAAGGCATGGCTCTAATTTTCGGCCTGTGGTGTACTATTCGTCTCGACTTTCCCCTGTGGTACTTGGTATGCCTTCATGCCTGCGAGCAGTGGCCGCAGTTGCAATAGTTATCAAGCAATCCTCTCCCATTGTACTGGCCAGTGACTGTGTAGTTCATGTCCCACATGCAGTTTTGCACATTCTGAACACCTCTGCTACTCAGCATATGACAGCAGCAAGGCGCTCTGGTTATGAGGTGGTAATTATTTCAAGCCCGCACATCACTCTCAGGCGCTCCCCTCCTCTGAACCCAGCCACACTGGTCCCAATACTAGACTTTGATCTAACACATGACTGCATCACAACCATTGATCTGTCTTCTTCCCCCAGAACTGATATGTTGCAAACTCCAATCCCAAATTCAGATATGGTTCTGTACACAGAAGGGTCTGCCTGCAGACCGTCTGACACATTACGCTTATCTGGCTATGCTGTTGTGAACGACTGGGAAGTCTTAGAAAGCCGAGCGTTGCCCGATGGCACGTCGGCTCAGGCGGCAGAGTTGTATGCTCTACTCAGAGTGTGCATTTTGGCTAAAGATAAAGTTGCGACCATTTTCACAGACTCCAGGTATTCTTTCGGTGTGTGCCATGATTTTGGAGTCCTGTGGAAAATGCGCGGTTTCTTAACATCAGCTGGTAAACCTATTCAACATCATGCATTAGTGGCTCAACTGTTAGACGCTATCCTGCTCCCGGCACAGCTAGCAGTAGTTAAATGTGCTGCTCACACAAATTCTGATGATCCTATTTCACACGGAAATGCGTTAGCCGACACCGCGGCTAAACAAGCGGCCATTTCCTCCTCCTCCATGGTACTCCAATGTCCCTCCACACAACCTGCAGAACCCATTTGTTTGCCTTCCTTTAATGATGTCGCGGACATGCAAGCCCGCGCTGATGCTAGGGAGAAAGATTTATGGCTGTGCAGAAGTTGTACACTTGACGCAGAGTCCCGCTTGTGGCTCCACCCAGATGGCCGAATGGTCTGCCCCCGCTCGTTCCTCCATGTTTTGGCACATATTGCTCATGGCTCCACACATGTAGGAAAAGGAGGGATGAATGGGATTATACAATCACAATGGTTTGCCCCAGGCATCACACTAGTGACACAGGCCCTAGTAGATAGATGCATGACATGCCAGCAGACGAGAAAGAAAAGAGGCCCAGTCCAACACGAACACTTGGTAGCCCCGTTGGGGCCCTTTGTACAAATGCAAATCGACTTCTCACACATGCCACCATGCCAAGGTTGCAAGTATCTCTTGGTAATAGTGTGCCAGTTCTCCAAATGGGTAGAGGCCTACCCAACCAGAAAATAAGACGCTAGAACAGTTGTAAAGTGTCTTCTCAAAGATGTTATTCCTAGATTTGGTGTGCCCACAGGAATTAACAGTGACAGAGGTCCAGCATTCGTTTCTAAGATAACCCAGAGTCTTGCTACAGTGTTAGGGTTCAGATGGCAGTTGCACGTTCCCTATCACCCACAGAGCTCAGGTCAGGTTGAGAGAATGAACTTGACCATAAAGGAGAAACTCACCAAGACAATGTTGACCACAGGATTGAAATGGGTAGATGCACTACCACTAGTCCTGTGCTCCATCAGAAGCACACCAAATGCTACGACAGGGCTTAGCCCCCACGAAGTATTGATGGGAAGGGTAATGTCCACAGGGTCCAGCCCCCCAGTAACACCCTATAAACTTACTCTTTTGTGGACAGATGATTACATGACTAACTATGTGAAATATCTAACCAACATGTTGAGAAAGTTTCACAGGCAGGTGGCTGACAGGCTCCTTCAGCCTGGAGAGGAGCCTACCCACCCTTTTCAGATTGGTGATAATGTGCTAATCAAGTCTCTTGAAAAATATGTTCTGTCTCCCAGGTGGAAAGGTCCTTTCCAGGTGTTAGTAGTGACCAGAACAGCCTTAAAAGTCCAAGGAAGGACAGAGTGGATCCACGCTTCACGATGCCGCCTGTCTCCTCCACCGGTCAGTGGGGAGGGTCAGGGTGCTGGCGTGTGAAGGCGGTCCTCATACTCCTTGTTCTGGGTCTACTATACCTGGCCAAGGAAGCCCTGCCAGATGAAGCTGAACCAATCCCGACGACAGGTGGCGAGGGCTCTCGCCCCTCAGAAGGGGAATATAAGGTGCTCTTATCCAAGGGCGCAGGCAGGTTGACCACTCAGGGCCCAGACCGTGGAGGCCAAACCACATCAACGGGCACATCATTGCCTAGCGACAAAATCAGGTTGATTCCAACCACCACACAAACATTTAAAAAAAGAGAGAGAAAAAGAGAGAGAAGGAGGAAAGTGGGCCCCGAGATAAGGCAACTCCCTCTCCCTGCTCTTTTCATTCCCAAGACAGGATCACAGAATTTTTCCTTTGAATGTCCGACTACACAATGTAACTCACATGACTGTGTTGTTGTGTTTCCTGTGTTTTTAAGCAAAGGCTTGTGGGCGTGGAACGTCTATCCAGAGACGGGGTACCAGCGGTTCCAGGTCTCACAGCGGATGGTAAGAATAACACTCAACACCATTGCAAATGTACCCCCAGAAATGTGGTGTTTCACTAAAGGACAGTTAAAGAATGATCCTATGTGTACCACATGGACACCCAATTACAAAGATCCCAGTACAGGGGTCACTAGATGCTCATATATAGAACCAGGTCCAGCTGTAATTAAGTCACCAGGAAGTTATGTAGATTCTTTAAAGAGTGCCCTAATCACTCCACCTAAACAAACTAAAACCAATTCTAATTCTGCAATAAGTTTAATGTTAGATTATGCACATGAACGCAATGTTAGCAACTGTTGGCTGTGTCAAAATATGCCAGAGTCCATGCACTCTCCCATGTTCAGCCCAATTCCTTTCACAAAACCTGACTACAGTTTAGTTAGCTGGAATGATATAGCATCCCGAATTAGCGATGAGACCGATGATTGTTACATCCCTTCTTACCCCATAGACTCTAAGCAACCTTTAAGGTACGAGGGCTTAATCTCGCTCATTGTTGACACTGAATGAAAAAGTCCAGATGAGTATCTGTCATGGTTGACTAATGTCTGCTCAGTTTATAACTGTTTGGTTCATGATGTTAAACAGCTGATAATCTTAACATACAAAGCAGATTGGCCCAGGTGCAGAGACGAGTTTAAATTTCCTGAGTGTACGGCCGCAGGAGATTGGCCTCTGACACAGACGCGAGACATGTGGATACAAAACGTCGCTGCATTGGCTATCAGAGCATGCGCTAAAACTCACACAGATTTTTCCCAAGTGACGGCTTGTGTACAAGACCCAGCAGAAAATGTCCCAGAATTTATCCAGCGTTTCATGACAGTGTGGGATAATAATGCGGGCATTAAAAGAGAGGGTAATGATTTGTTTGCCTTCCTTTAATGATGTCGCGGACATGCAAGCCCGCGCTGATGTTAGGGAGAAAGATTTATGGCTAAGACGAGGTTGTACACTTGACGCTGAGTCCAGCTTGTGGCTCCACCCAGACGGCCGGATGGTCTGTCCCCGTTCGTTCCTCCATGTTTTGGCACATGTTGCACATGGCAAATCACATGTAGGAAAAGGAGGGATGAATGGGATTATAAAGTCACAATGGTTTGCTCCAGGCATCACACTAGCTACACAGACCCTTGTAGACAGATGCATGATATGCCAGCAGACAAGAAGAAGAAAAGGTCCAGTTCAGCATGAACATTTACCGCCCCCCTCGGGGCCCTTTGTAAATATGCAAATTGACTTTTCGCACATGCCACCATGCCAAGGATTCAAATATCTTTTGGTAATAGTGTGCCAGTTCTCCAAATGGGTAGAGGCCTACCCTACCAGAAAAGAAGACGCCAGAACAGTTGTAAAGTGTCTTCTCAAAGATGTTATCCAAAGATTTGGTGTTCCAGCAGGGATTAACAGTGACAGAGGTCCAGCATTCATTTCTAAGATAACCCAGAGTCTAGCTACAGTGTTAGGGTTCAAATGGCAATTGCATGTTCCCTATCATCCACAGAGCTCAGGCCAGGTTGAGAGAATGAACTTGACTATAAAGGAGAAACTCACTAAAACAATGTTGACCACAGGACTAAAATGGGTAGACGAGCTGCCGCTAGTTCTGTGCTCAATCAGAAGCTCACCAAATGCAACGACAGGGCTCAGCCCACACGAAATATTGATGGGAAGGGCAATGTTCACAGGATCTAGCCCCCCAGTAATGCCCCACAGACTCACTCTTTTGTGGACAGAGGATTACATGACTAACTATGTCAAATATCTAACTGACATGTTGAGAAAGTTTCACAGGCAGGTGGCTGACAGGCTCCCTCAGCCTGGTGAGGAGCCCACCCACCCTTTTCAGATTGGTGATAATGTACTAATCAAATCGCTTGAAAAAGGTTCTTTGTCTCCCAGGTATAAAGGTCCTTTCCAGGTGTTAATAGTGACCAGAACAGCCCTGAGAGTACAAGATAGAGCGGAGTGGAATCACGCTTCAAGATGTCGTCTCTCTCCTCTACCGGATGCTGGCGTGTGAAGGCAGTCATCATCTTATTCGTTCTAGGTTTACTGTACCTGGCCAAGAACGCCCTGCTAGATGAGGCTGTGAAAATCCCAACGACAGGTGGCGGGGGACCTCGCCCCTCTGAGGGAGAAAATAAGGTGCTCTTATCTAAGAGCGCAGACGACTTGACCACTCAGGGCCCAGACCCTGAGGGCAAAACAACACCAACGGGCAAAGCAGTGCCTAGCGACAAGGACAGGTTATATCCAAACACCACACAGACATTCAGTATGGTGCAAGAAACACAAAGAGAGAGAAAAGGAGGGAGAATAAGGAGGATTGTCGCCCTCCCTGGTCATAAGTCAGAGACTATTTCCTTTAACTGCCCAATTTCAATATGTGACTCATCTAACTGTATTATTGTGTATCCTGTGTCCTTAGTTTACCCAACATGGGAGATGTATCCAAAGAACCAGTACTATTGGTTCGGGGTCTCATCAGAGGGGGTAAGGATGGCTCTCA